GGTAATATTTTCCTCATTTCGCTTTCATTTTGGCTTTAATTTTAGGGACTAATAATTGTCCTTATCCTTTCATTGTCAATGGCATGATGCATTCATTCATTATGTAGGTTGCATTTCCCAACTTGGAATGGCTGACTATCACCCACTTGAAAAACTTGGAGATTATGTGGCACAACAAACTATATGTAGATTCCTTTTGCAGACTAAAATCATTAAGAGTTGAAAATTGTGAAAAGCTATCGCCTGTTTTTCCTTCTACTGATATATTGGCAAAAATCTTGAAATCCCTAGAGGTGTTATCTATATATCGGTGTGGCTTGGTAGAAGGGATATTTGAAATTGGCGAATTCAATGTTAAACAAACACATGTTGCAATTGACACCAAGCTCAGACAATTGAATATTGGGGATCTACCAAGATTGAAGCATGTGTGGAATAAGGATCCCCAAGGAATACTCACTTTTCACAACCTGGAATCAGTCATGGTAAGCTATTGTGGGAGTCTCAAAAATTTGTTTCCAGCTTCAATAGGCAAAAGCCTTTTGCAACTCGAAAAGCTACATTTATTGCAGTGTGGGTTGAAGGAAATAGTAACAATGGGAGAAAGAGGAACTGAAGCAATTGTTAGCTTTGAATTTCCTCAAGTAACAAGTCTTAAGCTTGAGTTCCTACCAAGACTGCAATGTTTCTACCCAGGGAAGCACACGACAAAGTGGCCAATGTTGAAAGTATTCTGTTTTTCCCTTTTCAATCAAATAAACAGAGTAGATGGGCATGGGCAACTTGACTTCCCTATACGACTACCACTTTTCTCTGCAGAAAAGGTACGATTCGTATCATAACTTTTCCACTGTGAAATTAGAGCCTCTCAACCAAAGTAAAATAATAAAAGAAAACCATACTACAAATATATATCATGCAACAAGTCATTAATTTTTAACAATCACTACACATGGATAATGGTATTATATTGGAAAAACGTAGTAACTTGCTTTAGTGAGACTCAAGTGGTTTTTTAAAGAAATATTGTTTGTGAGACTCCGTAAAGATAATTCTTGTTATTTCTTTAACTTTGTCATTATTGTTTGAAATCTCTTCTATTAGATAAATCTGCTCATGTTCATATAAGAATAACATAGTTAAAAACTCTTCTATTATGGCTATCAAACCATTGTAAAGAAAAGCCTGATCTGTAGGCTAAGAAAAACAAGCTACTTAGTGAATCATGAAGGGAGAAAGTACTGGCTTTAGCTTTTGAATTTTGTAGAGCAAACCAATTACTGTTATGGTTAGAAAATTCGGTTAAAAATAAGAGCTCTTATAACTTGAAAGCATAATCTGATCTAGCAACAAGTATACTAAATGTTAAGCTTTAGAAGCCAGGTATAGTAAGCAAGAAGTATTAAGTTAAGAGATAGTATCTTATAAGTGGAAGGCATATTATTTTAAAGTTAAATCATTTATACGTGTATTTAGTGGGAAGTCCATTTCAAAATATATTTACAAAGTGTAATGATTGGTTTAACTGAAGAACTCTCTTTTGATTATACCCAGGATTAGAACAAACTTAAAAAACTTTAAAAAAAAATGAGCCATATGCAATGTTGGGAAGATACAGTCTACCTTCGCATAAAATATAAGAAATTTTTAGACTTCCAAAATGCTAGCCGTACTCAGTTAACCTGAAATGGATAGAGAAACAAACATAAGCTATGAAGCTCAGTAAGCATAAGTTATAACCTAAAGCTGTAAGTGAGCTTTGAGTCAAATTAACAAGAACAATCAAATAATCCATGTTTAAACTTATAACAAGAATCCAAATAAGATACAATATGAAGGTGGCAAGCATACCTTAACCATGTAGATCAAATCTCTTAGAAAGGTTTTTCATAAATTCAACACTAAATCATTAACTTCAAACATAGCATATAAAATAAGATTATTAAACAATTCAGACAAACAAACAATCACAGATTCTATGGAGTCCAATTAACAATCTGTGGTGCACTTCACACTAATCAATGCCAACCATAGCTTCCCTACTACATAGAGGTCCAATCAATCAAAATTGCTCAACTTAGGGCCCAAACAATTAACTAGCAATTAGCATAGGTTCCAAACCCTCCATAGACTCACACAATAGCATAAAGCAAATAGCAAAAACTATAATAATGGTCTGACGAAACAGATATCAAACACCAAGCCTCACTAAATATATAGCCAGAAGCCCCTTTCTCTTCCTTCGGTTTCTAGTTTAGAAATTATGCATATACAAGTGCTTAATCCTTGCATGCAAATGCAAAATATTTGGATGTTTGCCATATGTCATTGCCACCCTAAATAGACTTGAGACCTATTATCCATTATAAAAATTTCTGAAAACTGACATTCAAACCCGAAACTTTATTAACTTCTGACAATTAAAAATAGAAACTTAATTGTACAATTAAGGGCAGGGTCATTACATTCGTTCCACCGAAAAATGCACTATATTGCATTTTTTAATTCAATTAGTAAAAAAAGTGTATTTGGTTTCCATGTGAAAAAATGCACTTAATATTTTTAGTAATTTTTTATTTATTTATAAAATCACAAGATCTTATTTTATTGAATTTTATTTCTTTCCAGATCATCCCTCAATTGGAGAAACTATCATTAGCAAGACATGACATTGTAATGATACGTGAGCATGAGTCTAAACAAGACATCCTTTTCAATGGCGAAGTTCTTCAAATTCAGGATTATCTTGATGATGAATTAGATGTTTTACCTATTGGATTCCTAAAAAGGTTTTACCGTCTAGAAAATCTCATTGTGAGATATTGTAATTTTAAAGAGTTGTTCCCTTCAAAAGGAGAAGTTGAAGAACAAGAGAAACACGTTGAGATTGAGATACTCTCAAGGATTAAAACATTAAATCTGGTGTGCCTTCCATATCTCAGGCATATATGGAGCCATGACTCATCAAGTGTCCTTCAAAATCTTGAAACTCTTGATATGTTCAGATGTGATAGTTTGAGTATATTATCAACTTCAATTTCATCTTTCCAGAATCTCACCACTTTGAGTGTACAGAATTGCAATGGAATGATACATTTGGTTTCAGTCTCAATAGCGCAAAGTCTGGTGCAGCTAGAAAGTATGACTATACGTGGTTGCCACATGTTGACTAAAATAGTTGGAAATGAAGGAGATGGAATGCAAGATTATATCATGATCACTTTTACTAAACTAAAAATTTTGACACTTATATGGTTGCCAAGACTAGAAAGCTTTTGTTCAGAAAATTTCACCTTCAAATTCCCATGTTTGGAAAAGGTAACCGTATATCATTGCCCCAAGTTGAAGATCTTTAGTGAGGGAGACCTAAATACACCATTGCTACAGAGAGTATCAATTGAAGAAGAGGACAAGTGTCGTTGGGAAGGTGACCTTAACACCACCATACAAAAAATATACATGGAAAAGGTATGAATTGATTTCTAAATATTTGAAGGCACTTATTCTTTTTATAAAAAAATTTTTGATTTATTTTTGGATTGTGTTATATATATAACTAGCCTTGCTTTTTTGCACTTGTGTAGGATGGATTTGCTGGGTTACAGGCTTTGATGCTGTCAGATTTTCCTAAGTTGATGGAAACATGGCATGTCAAGAATCCTCAAGAACTCTTAGATTTTAGACAGCTTCAAGTGCTAGAAATTTGTAATTGTAGCAAGTTCAGGTGCCTTTTAACCCATTCCATGGCCATGGGTCTTGTGCAACTCTTGCAATTGATAATAAAAAACTGTGGGACAATCGAACAAGTGATAATGGGAGAAGGAGCAAAAAATAAAATGGAATTCCCATATCTTTGGTTGATAAATCTGGAGTGTTGTTTAGATTTGACAAGTTTCTATGTGGGTAGTCATAGTCTTGAGCTTCCAAGATTAAGTGAATTTATTGTAAAGGACTGCCCAAAGATGGTCACATGCGCTGTTTCTACATCCTCAGAAGAGCATGACAAAGAAGAATATCAATACCTCCTTAGCAGCAAGGTCAGTTTCTTTTCTTCTTTTCCATTTTTCTTTATTTTTACAGCAACATGGTTAGTTTTTTATATTTATTTATTGTAATTAAGATTTTACAAAATATTTATCTTCGCTTTTTGCATGTCAGTGTTGCCATCTCCACTTCGTTAGCTTCATAAATGAATCTCCGTAAACAAGTTCCACTTAATATATGGTTAGAAAACAAGGACTTTTGGCTGGAACAACGACTTAAAATGTGAAGTTACTTAAGTTTAAAAATAGGATTATTGATCCAAATAATATTTTTTTCCTTTTTGCCTACATTGACCCAACTACCGTT